CGCCTTGAGGTCTTTAATATGACCTTGGAGCTCTGCTGGTGTGCAATGCGGAGTCTCAGGAGATGCCGCTGATGTGCCATGCAGCTCTTCAGTTGGTGAATCTTCTGAAGATTCCTCTGAGGAAAAATCACTAAGGGAGGCACTACTGCCACTGACGCCGTTAACCCTAAAATATCTCCTGTCGAATCTTACAATATGTTGCTCCTCGTCGAGGTCATTATCAAGGTCATAGTTGGGAGAGAGCTGACTTTGCATTGCATCAGCGAAAACCTCGACCTTTTCCTCTGTCCTACAGACTATGCCCCAAGGACCGTGGATGTGTGGGAGTTGTTCTCGCTTTCCGTTTCTGAGCGACTTTGCAACTTTCCAGACAGGAATACTTGAGTCAAGCATCCCCGACAGAAAGTCGCTCCATTGCTCATTACGGAATTCATGAAGAGCATTTCTCGCTTCATGAACAAGTTTCGTTGCTCTGTGAATGTCATCTGGGTAACAAGACCTCTTCGCTTGCTTAATTGCAGCTCTTTTGTCAGAAATTTTCTGACGAATGTCTGCAGGGAGATGAAAGCAGTACCTAATCGAGGCTAATCACAATACAAGATGTGACTTGAGAGACTTACATATCAAGAAATCATTGACCGGAAGTAAAAAAAAACACAACAAATAGAACCCTGAACGGTAATCAAAGTGAAAGTGAAGATGGAGTTATTGAAACTACGTTTAGAAAAAGAAAACAAAAGACTACAAGAAGATTACGAACAAAGGACTAATATAATGCATTATATCTAAAATATGGCAGATAGAATTAAAGCTGTTGAAGCGAATGGCATAAACCAAGGATCATATAGCCAGGTAACAGCCAGATCTAAGACATACAACAAGCCCCTAAAGACACTATGCGTGAATCCTACTAAAGAACAAACAATACTTGAAACAAAAAATATTTAAATAAGATTGATCTATCGAAATTGAATGTACAAGTAGACAACATTAAATACACTAAAAAAGGAGGAATCGAATTGAAACTAGAAGAAAAGTATCTCACTACACTGAAAAATGAATTCGAAAAAAGTTATCAATGTTACAGAACAAGAAAAGAAGCTACCAAGAATCAAAATTTTCGGCTACAGAAGTAAACAACCACCTACTGAAGCAAGCCTCAAGGAGAGTATTATTACAGAAAATCATTTCATTCAAGAAAATGATATCAAAGTTACTTATATAAGAAAGAATAACTTAAAAAATTATTATACATTATTTGCAGAAGTGCATATTTTAATCAGAAATATAAAAATATTATAACACCGACCATGTACCAACAGATCAAAAATGTCCAGTTTATAAATATATGCAGTCTGAACATTTTGATTCGATCGATTTTTGAATCTAAAAAAATAAAATAAGTAAAGCAACATTCTCAAAAACACACATTTTTTACAATGGACATTTTTACATAACTAATTTTGAGACTGACAAAATAAAAAGAAATTATATAGTTCACATAAGTCAATTAGATGCTTTAGATACCAGTGGAAACATACGTTTAAAGATTTTCCACATAAACTTAAGACGTCTTAATCAAAACTTAGATTCACTAAAAGTTTGCACTTATTATTTATCTGTCACATTCGATATTTTGATATTAACGGAAACGTGGCAGGTATTCTGCCTTTTATATAGTTTTGTACTAAGTTATGGATCAGTACATAAGGGATATCAATTATGCACAATTTAATACCAATATCCTGAATAAAGCTTCAGAGTGCCTATAATATTTCAGATGGAAAACAATTTAGCATATTCCATCAAAATATTAGAAGTATATCAAACAATTTTGACGAATTAGAGATATACTTAAATTCTTTTAATAAGAAATTCATTTTAACTGAAACTTGGAATATTGCAGATATTCGTTATCAAGTGTTCTACAACAATGCAAATTTTGACCAAAATGGTGGTGTTATCATCTACGTAAATGAAATCCTAAATTTTACGGTAGACAGACAGTTCACCGAGTGTACAGGGATACTTACTAAGATAAATATACATAAAATTGTTTTCTCAATAATATCTTTCTACAGACCACCCTTCGTGTTGTTCATACAAGACATCCAGCAATTATATAACAATGAAGTTACATTGTTTTTTGAGTACATTACGAAAGAGAAAAAGTTTTCATGTGAAACTATCATTACAAAAGGACTCAATAGTGCACACATTGCTGTTCACCCGCCTTATCGAACCTTAACCAGGATAACCAATTTATTTCCACACCTAACAAGGTTGTTATAGTTACCGGATGAGTACTCAAGGGTTGCTATCACACCTAATTAATTTGATAGATTACTAAAGATATTGAGGTGTGCTCCAACACCGGCTTTCATCAGTAGTGTATATATGCAGAACCACTTTGCCACTTGAGGATGAGACTGCCTAAGTGATTGTATAATAAAGTCCTTGAGTATGCATTAATTCACGTTCAATGCTGTCTTAGGGATCCTTAGTGCAGGATCCCATGCAAACATTCATCAAGTGTCAACTGATGCAAGCTCGGTAGACTAAATATGTTTGCAATAGCATCGCCTTGTATAACAATGAAACTATAATGTTTTTTGAGTACATCACCAACGAAATCAAGATAACCAGTTTACTTCCACACCTAACAAAGTTGATATAGTTACCGGATGAGTACTCAAAGGCTGCCATGATACCTAATTGATTTGATAGATTACTAAAGGTGTCCAGGTATACTCCAACACTTTGTCACTTGAGGGTGAAGCTGCCTTAAGTATTCCATTCCATACTGTCTTAGATATCCTTAGTCCAGGATCCCATGCAAATATTCATCAAATGTCAACTGATCTAAGCTGTGAGCTGTATATCCAGCTTTGGACGCTAGACGGTGGGCGTTCGAATAAGGCGACAATTACGTTTAGATCTAGATATTCACACACAGGGGGTAGGTTGCATGTGAATGTATGAGGGAGATGGAGATATATAAAGGGATACTGGTAGTCTTACTTTGACTGACTCGCAAGAATGGTAACTACAAGTACGTATATTTTTTTATCTTCATGCACTGAAGCTTCACGGTATACTTAAATGGACAGAGGTACTATAGACCGATACCTTTTCCTCTTTAAAAGTGTAAACCTTCCTTTCCGCAAAAAGTCCAGAAAAGATGGAATGCAATGAAGATTCCAACTTTTCTGCACAATCACAGAAACGGGGTTACCATTAGCGTCCGGTAGCTCAGTCGGTGGCATGAAGACATCTACAGGCGTGTAGCTGTGTGTCGACCATGGCATGGCTAGAGGATAGAAGAATAAACAGAACACAAAAATTTAACAGATTTTATTTAACTAGAAAAGCACTTTCATTACATTTGAAATTGAAATTTTAAAGAACGAAATGAAAGATTTAAATCTTTGGCGCTCTTACAAAACTATCCACTTATATTTCGCTAAGCTGGTCCATTTTGACTGGACTGAAGCGAGGATGGCCAGGTGCTTCAAGTGGAGGTCCGAGTTATGAGGGGTGACCTTACATTTAGTGGCTTCAAAACTAGTTGTAGGCGAAGGATGCAGTGAAGTTGAGCTTAAAGGTGATGGCGCTGCCAAGGCACATGCATGGGTGAAGTGACAGGCCAAGCAATGTAAAGTCAAAGACAAAGGCAAAAGTCAAAGACAAAGGCAAAGGGAAAGGGAAAGGGAAAGGGGGTGGCCCCAATCATTTTATCCTATTTGGACACACATTTTACAAACTGCTAGCACATGGTGCTATGACCTCATGCTACAGAGAACAAAATTCTTAGCTCATGTTAGATCGGCGGCTCAAGTGAAAAGAAAGCGCGAGGAAGATCACAGATCAGGAACTCCGCATCAAGCGCGCTCCAAGCGGAAATGTTTCCAAGTAAAAAAGCTAGAGCTGGAATAAGCTAGAGATGGGATTATTGAGTTGCGATTCTGAAATGAAAATCGAGAAGTGCTTTAATCAATACAATCGGACGGTGAAACCGTTACAAAAGGAAGGATTATCTTGCAATAATTGTCTTGGCTTTTCGGAATAATAAGTATCCCAGGCTAATGAAAGAGTAGTGCGCCACCTCGTCGCATCCCTCAACACAACAGGCATAACTCGCCTCTGGCGAGGTTTATGGACTTGCATGTTGAAGCTGATGTTTAACACATCTTGAAAACTAAATCCGCATAGTGGCAACTTAAGTACCAAATGTTCTATTGAATCGAAAGCCTTGCCCACTATTCTGCGAACACAGCGCAACGTTGCCAGAACGACCTACGTTAGTGCTGGTAAAAATATTCAGCCAGCTGGTGCAGCATTTTTCTATTGTCATCTAGGGATAGACTGGTCACAACTATAATCTGATAACCTTCTCTGGCTGCTCTTTCCTTCCGAACGGTTCCCCGCTAGACCCGCACAGGTAGGTCGAACATTCTACCTGAGCAAGTTCGAAAGTAACAACAAAACATTAATTGGTTAAACACAAACATTAATTATTATTATCAACCATAAGTAAATAGATTTGTATTGTTGTCAGGGGTGTCATACGGGCTGAGCCCTTTGAATGCGCTAAGCATGTTTGAGAATCTAAACCCGTACCCAGAACTTCTTTTCAACATCTGTCAACGGTCAGTCGACATATAGTCAAAATCACGAAAGATGACTATTACATCATACCATAAATTGTACTGAAGTAATCAACGGACGTACGTCGATGATAAAACCACGATGTTAGGAACATATGACAATGAATTTATGTTATGATTTTATTTCATTGTTTTAAGTGATACCTTAGAAATAATTTTAGTCGAGAGTTTTTGTTGCGTGTGCGTGTGCGCGTGCGCGTGCGCGTTTGCATGTGTGTGTGAGGATTCCACATAAATACAGTCGCGCCTGCTACATTACACCAGTTGAGTCTGTCAGTACCAGCATATTTTAGCCCGACAATCAATATCATCATGGAAGCAACCACGAATAATCTAGATGAAATTGTAGTCCTTCATAATGATTTGGATGCAATTATAGCTGACCTGGAAGGCGACGGACATTCAACTGACTCAGATGACAACTGACAGCGAACTCCAGGAGTTGATTCAAATTAGACCCGCTGAAACTACTGTGGTAGAAAATACAACGGATAACCCTACAGCAATGCTTCCAGCAGTGAAGGCTCATATATTGCCTTCAAAATCGTTAAACCAATTGAAGCATGTAATTGAAACAACAAAGAAAACCACCATCATGCAGCCGATCAGTCAAACTGGTATAAATGCATTCAAAAAAGTATAGTGCTAATGAAATCGGAAATCCAAACTACCGAGCGACAATTGGCGGTGGAAATGGATAAGAGCGAAAAACTGCGAGACCTTCTTAATCAAGACGAGGAACTTCTAAAACAGTTAGACGAGGACAGAAAACGCGTACGTGAACAGAAAATTAGGAGGAAACGGCAAATGGACGATGCGAAGAAATAGCACAAGGGAAGAGGGGCAAGCTTTTAGAAGAAAAAGACACACTTTTACTTTTGTTTTATTTTTGAAAATGTACGTATATATATATATATATATATATATATATATATATATATATATATATATATATATATGTATATTGCAATAAACCTTAAAGTTAATTTTTTCCGTCATGTATAATACGTGTAATATAATTTTCAAAAATATATTAGGTCTGGTCAAGTAGAGGTGTGTTTGTATTTTTCGAAATACTTATAATTCCTGTAATTTTCTACAGAGCTGTTCTTCCAAATCCGGCAGACCTACCAACATTTATTAACCATTTGTTTCCCATACTTTCCTTGACTATATATTCTATTTGATAAATCATTTGTACTGATAAAACCTTTATTTTTTTATATTTGATAATATGTGTACAAAAATTACAAATATGTAATGTATATGGTATACAAAAATAATAAATATAAGAATCAATACATAAAAAACTAGGTCTAATAATCAAATATACATAAGTATTAAAAAAAAAACGAATTCTATCATTTCTACCCATGAGACCTTCGATCGTACCATGTGTCAATTAAAGCCCATAATATATGGGGTGACAGCTGGGGGTGCCAGCTGCAAGACATGCGATTCTCATATTTCTAACCAAGATGCACAACAAAAAAATATTAAATTAAAACCGTAAAATACTAAACATCCTTTATAGAATGCGAATACTGTATCATGCGTTAATTAATCCTCATATAATATATGGGGTGACAGCTGGGGGTGCTACCTGCAAGAAACCTGGATACACCATAAAAGAAATCTCAAATCCGGACCGTGAGCCTTCGCTACTAGCACAGGTAACATTGCATAGATTTGTGGCAGAAATGCCAAACATTGTTTGTTGAAAGTTGCCTTGGAATACTATATAGTTCTAAAATTCTGATCGTGAGAGCATCATTACTAGCGCAAATGGTGATCCAGAGATTTGCGACGGAAATGCCAAACATTCTTTGTTGAAAGATGTCTTAAAATACTATACAGTGCCTTTATTTAAACCATTATAATATATAGCATGACAGCTTGGGGTACCACCTGCTATACAGGGTTATCCAAATTAAGTGTCCACCATTGGTAACTTTGTTATTAGTAAAAATACAAAGTTGTTTAAATTAGCAAACTAGTAGCATTTTTAACGCTGGTAAAAATGAGAAATAAAAAAAAACAATTGAGAGTCGTTATTTTGATTTTTTTCAGTAAAATAACATTTTTTTAAATGGAAACCCCTGTATATTATATTTTTTTCTGTTAAAGCATCAAATTTTAAACAAAAAAGTTCATAATGACTTTTCCGCTAAAGTCAAAAATAAAGTCAAAATAACGATAAATATTTTTAATTATTTGCAGTATTATAATATTAAGACGGCTATGAAAACAACATGGCGTTCGCGATTTGACAGCATTAAGATAAGCGACAAATTGTTAAACTGGACATACTCGCAACTAGAAGGCTTTGGAAAACAATGATAAAATCAAATAATGTCAAACATTAGTGTAAATACTTGTTTATAAGCTTTATTGTGTCATTAATTTAAAGAAAAATGTTCTCCCATGAACAAAAGTGTGATATGTTAGAATGCTATTTAGTGTGCAGAAAATCCTCCTTGAGAGCAAGAGAATACTACAGTGAATTATATCCCGCTCGCATTCAACCGTATGAACGATATTTTCTGAGACTTTATCGAAAATTTAGGGGCAACGAAAATGTTTTTGCTAAAACAAGGGCAAAAAAGAATTCATAATAAGCGAGGCCACGGAAATTGCAGTTATTGGATATTTTGAAGCTTATCGTGAGAATTCAATAGCAGATATTCTCAAGGACTCTAATTTCAGTTATGGTACTGTTCAAAGGATTTTAAAAAAATACAAATTTATTCCGTATAAGTACCGACCAGTTCAAACGCTTTTGGCAGGGGATCCAGAGAGAAGACTTGTTTTTTGCCATTGGTATCTTAGCTTCTGTCGCCAAAATGTAAATAACTTTCGTTACCTTTTATGGACAGATGAATCAAATTTTTCAAATTCTGGAATGTTTAATAGAAAAACCACCATTATTGGTCAAGAGAAAATCTTTTGTTAGTACATCCAAGAGGCCCACAAGTCCGTTTCAGTTTCAACGTTTGGTGCGGTATAATTGGTTCAAAAATTGTTGGCCCGTTCTTTTATGAGGGAACCCTAACTGGTGAAAGATATGTGGAATTTATGTCAGAAATTCTGACTAATTTCTTAGACGAATTGGATCTTATAAGTAGACATCATCTGCATTTTCAGCACCTGCCCACAACTCCAGAGGTACTTATCATTTTCTAAGTACTACTTTTAATGATTAGTGGATAGGAACAAATGGCCCAATACAGTGGCCTCCCAGATCACCAGATCTAAACCCACTTGATTACTTCTTGTGGGGTTACTTAAAGAACCAAATTTACAAGCGCGTTAAAGACTGCAGTTAGGGAAAAGATAACCCAGATAGATGGTAGGACCATACTTAAGACAGTTCGAGCAGTTGAAAAACGTGCCCAAAAATGTATTGAAGAACAAGGTGGTGTTTTCGAGCATCTTCTTTAAAAAAAATTGTTATTGTATTTTGTAAGATTATAAGTTGATGTTGAAAATAAAGTTTGTCGATACAATTTAATTGTTTCAGATTGGAGGCCATAACTTCAACAATTTGTAACCTAGGAGAAAAGTTATTGTGAGCTTTTTTGTTTAAAATTTGATGCTTTAACAGAAAAAATATAATATACAGGGGTTTCCATTTAAAAAAATGTTATTTTACTGAAAATAACGACTCTCAATTGTTTTTTTTTATTTCTCATTTTTACCAGCGTTAAAAATGCTACTAGTTTGCTAATTCAAACAACTTTGTATTTTCACTAATAACAAAGTTACTAATGGTGGACACTTAATTTGGATAACCCTGTATATAGGAGCAGGTGCATACATGGAAATACTAAACACTCTTTATAGATAGTTTTCTGGGAATAGTGTACCGTAATAAAAAGTCCCTTTTTCACCAGCCATTTCTATTTTGTCTTGTGTGGATGTTGTCGAATTAATTCGGACTAGTATTATGAGAATACCTAAACGTCCTATCGAGCTTGCCTTGCCATGCTGTATATCATAGTGGGGGGACTTTCTGTCACAGGCATTGTATGAGGCAAGCCTCACTCCAATTGCCCTGTATAAGGGATAATTGACAATACGTCATATTTTTGCTCGTGAAAGTTTTCCAATTTTTCAAATGAAAATCCGATTTAAAAACATGGAGGACAAAGTAATGATCCCCCAGCGTCCCTGATGATGAATGAACCTAGCCAGAAGGAGAGAAGAGAAATTACCATGAAATCAAAGGAATTGCAGACGAAAAGGACAGAACCATCCAGCGTCTTACCCTGATCATCGAAAGCCGGGCCCAGCAGATAAAGGCACTGACTGAGACAGTTAGGGACCAAAACAGTAAAATAGACTGCATGACCATGCAGTTAATCAATAATCCAAATTTCAATTATAAATCTGACAAGGCTGTCAATTTAAAAAGTCCTCTTGAAAATTTAACTGACGTGACATCGACCGACGATGAAATACAGAATGACGGATTCATCCAGGCCAAGTCTAGGAAAAGATGCAGCGACAAAATGAACAAAACCGATAAGACGGATGACTTCCCACCTCTTCTAAAAGCAAATTCCAAATTCAATTTGTCAGTCCCCTCAAAACAGTCGGCTGCATTATACGTATCAACTTCTTCTGCCACTTGTCCTATGAGAGTCGATGCAGCGACCACATCTTCTCAATCTTTGGCTATTGTATCGACTGACGGTGCATTATCTCAACAATCTCACGTTGCTGGTGAGTTGACCAGCACAGCACCTCGCCAGCGGCGAATCACGCCCATTGTTTTCCGTGATGCAGCCAAGTGGCGAAACGTAAACTACACCTTTATAAGCTTGATTGATGCGGGAATAAGGATTTTGCCGAAAACTGAGGATGACTACCGCAGGATCGTTCGCCTGTTCGGGGAGGAGGACGTGCCCCATCATACGCGGTAGTCAGCGGTATAGCCGCAATGTTTTCAGAACAGGAGATCAAAGGGGAATTAGAACAGAGGGGATATACTCCTCTCCACATTATTCGACTCAAACGCAGTGGCGGCGCACCCATCCCTTTGGTGGTCGTGATATTGCCCAAGATTGACAAGTCCCAACGAACATGAGCTGCTGGGTCTAGCAATCCGAGTTGAAGTTCAAACGAACTCTAGACTTATTGGGCAGTGTCACCGCTGCCAAAGGTATGGTCATACGCAGTCTTACTGCACAGCACCTAGCAAATGTTTGAAGTGTGCTTCCGAACACATGACACATTTATGCCCCCACACAGGACAAGAGGAGCGAAGGTGTGCGATCTGTGGAGGGGCTCATCCCGCTAACAGTCCCACTTGCAGATTCACCCCCAGGCGAAATCTGGAAGTCATAGCGCAAAGGCGCAGCAAGTCATACGCGGAAGCAGCTGTCTCAACATCTTCGGCTGTCTCCTCTGTTCAACCCACTTTGAACATGCTGAATGTGGACCTAGCACCTGCGCTTAGGTCCCATCAACAAATAATAAGTCGACTGATTAGCGCCACTCAGGGATTGCAGGCGATCTTTCCGCTGCCATTGAATGGCTAAGTACAATAGACAACCGGCATTTATATAGGAATTACTTAATCCGGGAGATCGCATAGGTTTCTCGAATTATGATGTTATACGCGCTGAGATGCAAAGCATTGAAGCGGAGTCCGTGGTGGTCAATATGGCGGGATGAACTCCGTTGAAGATCACCTCGATGTATGTCAGGTGCGGTGCCAGGCTGCGAGAGGAGGACTTGGAAGTCCTTCTGGACTGGTTGGGTCCTCTTATTGCAGCAGGGGACTACAACTGCAAACACCGACCATGGCACTCAAGGCTTAACTC